CGCCAGGCAGAGCCGGGGGAGAGACCAGCTCCACATATCAGTGGAGCAGGGCCCCCGGCTCTGTAACTTGCTGGCACTTCCGGGTTCAGGGGCATGGGGCCCGAATTGGCCTAAGGCCGGCCCTGCCGGCATCCACCAGGCATGCTGAGGCCCAGTATTTTTATCCCGCGGCCTGGTACCGGGCCGCGGCTCATAGTTTGGGAAACACTGGTGCAATCGATCATGAAACTGCAATTTACAAACAACATTTAGAAATAAAACAGTGCAAAACTTTAGAGCCTACAAGTCCATTCAGTTCTACTTCTTGTTCAGCCAACTGCTAAAACAAGCAAGTGTGTTTACATTTGTGGGAGATAATGCTGTCTACTTCTTGTATACAATTTCACCTGAAAGTGAGAACAGGCATTTGCTTGGGGCTTTTGTAGCTGGCATTGCAATATACTTATGTATTAAATATGCTAAACATTTGTATGCCCCTTTATGGTTAAACCACCATTCCAGAGGACACATTTCCATGCTGATGTTGCTTGTTAAAAATATATTAATTAAATTTGTGACTGAACTAGAGGGGAGAATTGTACGTCTCCATGTTTTACCTACATACTATAACATTCATGTTATAGTAGTCTCAGATGATGATCCAGCACGTTGTTCATTTTAAAAACACTTTCAGTGCAGATTAGGCAAAAACACAAAAAGTACAGATGTGAGATTTCTAAAAAAGCTACATGCTTTAAGAATCTGAAGTGCCTTCCAAAATCTGAGAGGGCAGAGGTATGGAGCATACTTTCAGAAGCCTTAAAAGAGTAACACTCCACTATGGAAACTATAGAACCCAAACCATCAAGAAAGAAAATCAACCTTTTATCATCTAATTTAGATGATAAAAATGAACATGCATCAGTCCATACTACTTTTGATTCTTATAGAGCAAAATCCGTCATCACCATGAACTTATGTCCTCTGGAATGGTGGCCCACCAAAGAATCATGAATCTTTGGTGCATCTGATATGTAAATACCTTGCAACACTGGCTACAACAGTGCCATGTGAATACCTATTCTCACTTTCAGGAGACATTATGACAAGAAGTGGGAGATATTCTCTCTATAAACAAACAAACTTGTTTGTCCGATCAATTGGCTGAACAAAAAATAGGACCGAGCAAACTTGTTTAAAGTTTTACATTAAAAATAAAACAATGCATGGATTTTTGTACATAATTCTCCATTTGTAAGTTCAACTTTCATGATAAGATTGCACTACAGTACTAGTATGAAATGAATTGAAAAATGTCATTTTTTTTCCAGTGCAAATATTTGTAATAAAAATAGATAAAGTGAGCACTTTATACTTTGTAGTCTACATTGTAATTGAAATCAATATTTGAAAATATAGAAAAATAAAAACATTTGAATAAATGGTATTCTATTAACAATGCAATGAATCATGATTTTTTTTAATTGCACCATTAGTCACAATTATTTTTTCATCATTTGACAGGCCTACTAATATTAAAACTCAGTATTCACCCTGATGCCAGCAACAAAAGTATTCCAAAATCTTCTGTAGAAGTGAACTCATCTGATCCAGTTAATATTCACTGACTTTCTGTGGTTTTGTTGGTTTACTATGTATAATGATATTATATTGAAAGCATGATACGCAATTTATAAACAGTGCCCCTTAACATAAATGGTTAATAAATAATTAACAGAAGTTAAATACATTACAGACATATGTATAATAGATTATGGACTCTTACAATTGATTACTCAGTTTTTAAAGCATCACTTGTTAACCCTTCATCTACAATTTATAGATGTTCTCTTAGTGGAAAGTGGCCACTACTTACATTAAAATAAAATAGGTCTGCTAACTTTTGAGTGCAGAGGAATCAATATGGTATCTTTACCTTCTCCCACATCTCAGAAGCCAGGTTAACATAGCTCTGGAATATAGGTGAGATGAATAATATAAACAGTATCTCCCCAGTTTAAACTAAGTATGTGGTGTTTTAATCAAAGCTGATTTAAGACCACAGAATAGTCCATTTATTTCCAAGTTACCAAAGTTCTACATTTCCCTGAGTTCTAGTACAGAAAAGAGTTTAATTGCTACCATAGATAGAATTTTTAAAAAATTAATAAATTTTCAGCAGTATTTGAGTCTATGTTCTTGTATTTTATTTATTTTATTATTTATTTAAAATGTTTTTACTCCACCTCTCTCTCTGAAATATTCAAGGCGTCTTACAAAATTTTTTAAAACACAACACAAATATATATAAAAATTTAAAATATGAGATCCCAGAAGGACATAAAACCTGCTAAAAGTGTCTCGAGAGAAGGAACACACACATACAAACTCAAACACCAATAAAAGCACGAGTAAAAAGGGTGGGTCAGCCTGACACTGAAACAATGCTAACGTTGACACCATGTGAATATCCCGAGGAAGAGAATTCCATAGCCTGGGAGCAAAAGCTGAGTTGGCCCTGTTCTCTGTAGATTTTAATCTTATCTCCATAAGTGGGGGAACACTGAGCAGAGTCTCCCCAGCTGACCTCAGTCCCCGAGCAGGTTCATATGGGAGAAGACGGTCCTTCAGATACCCCAGACTCAACCCATTTAAGGCTTTACAGGTCATACCCAAGACCTTAAATTGTACCTGGAAACATACCGGAAGCCAGTGCAGCTGCCAGAGCACTGGCATAATGTGTTCCATATAACGAGTATTAGTTAAAACTCGAGCAGCCACATTCTGGACCAGTTAAAGTTTCCAAAGGCTCTTTAGAGGCAGCCACATATAAAGCGCATTACAGTAATCCAGTCAGAATGTAACAAGACCATGGAACACTGTGGCCAAGTCATGCTTGTTCAGGAATAGTTGCAACTGGCAGATCAGACGAAGCTGCCCAAAAGCCCTCTTGGCCACTGAAGCTATCTGGTTCTCAAATGTTAAAGGGTCCAGGACTCCCCCCAAACTGTGTACCTGTTCTTTCAGGGGGAGAGTAACCCCGCCTAGAACAGGTACCACGCCACATTCCCGAACAGATGGTCTCCTAATACACAGGACCTCAATCTTCTCTAGATTCAACTTCAGCTTGTTTGACTTCATCCAGACCATCACCACCTCCAGACACCAGTTTAGATCAGTCACTGCCACACCTGGTTCTGATGTCACAGGGAAATAGAGTTGGGTGTCATCTGCATATTGATGGCACCGTCTTCCAAAACTCCTGATGACCTCTCCCAGCAGCTTCATGTAGATGTTAAACAGCATAGGGGACAAGATGGAACCTTGCGGGACCCCTTAGCACAATCACCACAGGGTCGAATAGCAGCCCACTAGCTCCACTTTCTGAAAGCATCCCAACTGGTAAGACCAGAACCAAAGCAAAATAGTGCCTCCTTTTATGTGGTCAGCAATAGATTAGTTTAATAATTAGTGAAACATGAATGAATCTGGTTATTTTTTAAAAAGTCAGTATACAGTGTGCTAGATGTACCCTTATTTAAACTAATAACCATTCTGAAAAAAAAGTGGCCATAGCTACCATATTGTTTTTCTTTTAAATTTTAACATCCACAAAAGAAAAAAAAATAATTTTGAAAGATTGGGATTTCTTTCAAAATTTACAACCATATGCTGACTTTAACACAGTTTTGAAACTTTACTGTGCTGAAGAAATTGCTGCTTTTAACCATCTTAATTTAAATAATACAAGCACAAATTTTCCTCATCAAAAAATTTCTTTTCTTGTAGATTGTTTAATACAGTTCTGTAATGTACTTTAATTAATTAATTTTTGTCTGATACCTGATTGTTCTTCAGATTCTAAATGAGGCATGTGGTTGACTGGTCAGTTTGTAACTCAGATTCTGCGGTTGTGACTGTGTTACCAGTGTTGTGTGGTGTTCAGTGAGTTCTGTTTTCTTCTGGTTTGTGAACAGAATTTGTTTGGGAAGCTAGGGGCTTTGTATTGTTTTACTAAAACTGACATATTCGTTTCTGTAATTTAGAGTATGGAAGAACTGGAAAAGAACCATGAAAATCTTCTAGCTGGTGCACAAAATGAACTTCGCAAAGAAATGGCTATGTTGCAAAAGAAAATAATGATGGACACTGTAAGTATTATCATTGATTTATGGGGGAAACAGTAAAAATGCAGAGACAGGACATTAAATAGAAAACTCATTTAACATTCACTTTTAATTCTTTTAGTATATCAGACTAATTTGCCTAAATGTTGCATTTGTTCAGTGTTATCTCCTTTCTTGTAACAGCAACAGCAAGAGATGGCAACTGTTCGCAAGTCTCTTCAGTCCATGTTATTCTGATGGCTCAATGAAGAAACAACTTGCACCTAAGTAACATGATACAATTATAGCCATTAGCCATGGAAAAATAAGTCTGCTGATTTAAAATTTAAATTTAAGAGTTAGGGTTAGATGTATTGTTTCAATAATGTTACTAGTGAATTTGACAGTATATTTTTTCATGTTATTAATGGATGAGATTACAAACCAGATTTTTTTCCTCAAAAACTATTAATATGTCTTTAAAATGTCTGCTTGTATCTCTCCTTAACTTCTTTGCAGTGATAGTTGCTTTTCTAGCAGTAAAGCAGTATTATAAAGCACAAGACTATAGGGCTACGTCTACATTGGCCCCTTCTCCGGAAGAGGCATGTTAATTTCCAACTTCAGAATAGGGAAATCCGCGGGGGATTTAAATATCCCCCGCGGGATTTAAATAACCATGGCCGCCGCTTTTTTTCCGGCTTGGGAAAAAGCCAGAAAAAAGCGTCTAGACTGGCGCGATCCTCCGGAATAAAGCCCTTTTCCGGAGGATCTCTTATTCCTACTTTGAAGTACTACTTTGAAGTAGGAATAAGAGATCCTCCAGAAAAGAGCTTTATTCCGGAGGATCGCGCCAGTCTAGACGCTTTTTTCCGGCTTTTCCCCAAGCCGGAAAAAAAGCAGCGGCCATGTTTATTTAAATCCCGCGGGGGATATTTAAATCCCCCGCGGATTTCCCTATTCTGAAGTTGGAAATTAACATGCCTCTTCCGGAGAAGGGGCCAATGTAGACGTAGCCTAGCAGTATGGCAGTTAATAGATGTTTACCTCTTTGAAAAGGTGAATATGAATCTGTGAACCGTATGAAGCATTAATACAAAATGGATCACAAAATTCCAACAATAATGACATCACAGGATTAAGAGGACACATTAAAAACCTGATGGTGTTACACAAAAATGCACCTTTGCAACTTTATACTGTAAACTATAGCGACCACCAAAATAATCTTACGTTCTGTGTATACATCTTGTATATTTGCAAGAGAACATACCAGAAAGTTTAGGAATTAAGAGTATGTTACACACAAATACATTTCTTTGATACTATAGGTTATTAGACTACATTGTTACCTATTTTTTCATTCTAGCCTCTATAATGATTGAAGTTTTTTAAAGTATCATTAGAAGCCTTATTATAAGCTGTATGTTGTACTTACATATGTCTGCTAAGAAGGCAAAACTTGTTAGTTTTATTAAACCAGGTATTTTGGCTTTACACCATTGTGCACATAATTGGTTTAAATGAGCCAAATTAAACAATTTGCAATGCAGTCTGCAGTGATTATTGATAGCACTACATAGTATATACTGTCATTTCTCGTGGACCATTTTGGAAATAGCCTGGGGAAAATACTAAAACAGGTACCCGTCTCTACAGCTGTAGTTGGAAAGGTAGTTCTTGCTGCTTTATAAAAGAATAAGTAGTTTAGTGAAGAGAAATTTTTTTTAAAAAATTTTATATTCTGTATCTCTTATTTTTTACAGCCAGGTTGGAGTTTTTATGTATTTGTTGTACAGAAAGCCACTTTATGCACATTCATTTTGTACAACTTAAGAAATCCCTGAAATATTCCAACATTTGGATATAATATAAAATACATTTAATTATTAGCTGCTTGACATCAAGTATAACTTGGAGGAACTAACACTCATTTGTAATGACAATTTTAGCTTTGATTCTATAAAACAATTTATAGTAATATGCCCATAATTTTTCCCACTTTTTTCTAGAATTACCCTGAAAATGCAGTTTTCCAAAGGAATTCAAAACCAGACCATAAAATATTTCTCCATTACTTAGTATTTACATTTTGGAATTGAGTTTTCTGGCTGCTTGCTGGATTATAGAGTGTGTATCATTTTTAGGGAGTTACTGTTGCACTATTTTCTGAATAGAGGGCCAGCTGCTCATGGTGTGAGGGCAGTTGTTTGGTTCCCGCTTAAAACTGGTATGAAGTAAAGTAAGTTCATCTTCTAGAAAGGAGATCAGGGATAGCCTCTGAAATAGAAACAACTAAACTACTTATTTGAGATTGAAATTTTGAGTTAATAATTACCATGCAGCCACACCCTTCCACAACAGTTATTAGAACTTAGAGCAGATAATCAGTGAAGTCAAAGTGCAGGTAATTAAACACTCATTCATTACTAATTGGCTTATGTTGGTTAAGACACATGTTAGTGTGTGAATCTTTGGTGGTTACAAAGTCATGAAACTGTTTATATTATACTTAAATGACAACTTAGAGGTAGTCAGATAATGCTGTAGGTGTCTCTCTTTTCTGGTGTGATACGTTCATGAATAGTCAAACACATGTTTTAGTCCAATAGAAAATAATGCCCACAACATCAATGCCAGCAGGCACAACTATACCCTACATTGTAATTTGTTTTGAGAGTACAATACAAGCTTCTTATGCCTGCTGATTAGTAAAATAAGGCTGAGCTTGTTGTGGAAGAGAAACTGCAGAGTTAATTTTTTTTCATTAAACAGTTTTCTTATTTACAGTAATTGTAGAGTAACTGACACTTCATTGAGAACTGCTAAAGTTGTCATTATTGTTTTTCACCATCTCAGAGGGATAGCTGAGTTAGTCTGTATTGTTAAAAAAAGTAGTTCTGTAGCACCTTAGAGACTAATATATATATAATCACGAGCTTTTGTGGACAAAACCTGCTTCTTCAGATTTGAGGGGCTTTTAAACCCAGGAGCTAGGAGAACAAGATGAATTGAACCAGACAGGAATACCATGCCTACAAAGAATACCAGGCAAAGAAATGGACTGGACCCTAAAATATGGATATGCGAGTAGATAGGGAATGTTTGTTTACCCACAATCAGTGTTTTTGTTTGTTTGTTTTGTTAAATCCCTCTGTTCTGAGTCCATGTGGCCCCCCTCCTCCCATAATTAAGCTGAATCCCAGTGATACAATCCTCTGTTTTAATCTGTTCTTTTCTAAGTTGCTTTATAACACCTAGCAACCTAGTATGCTTTACCAGCTATATCTTTAGTTTTGTTAATAAAATCACCTTGTTTAAGGCTATGATTTGATTTTTGTGTTCTAGAAGGTAACAGGAGGTCTTTTGTATGCATGCCTAAAACTGAGAGGGCAGGTGTCAGAGATTAGGGGTATTTCCCCCAGCTCTCTTATGGTAAAAGACCTTGAGGTACCCCTCTAGAAGAAGTTCCCAAGTGTTTTCTTCCTGGGTTCAAGAAGAAAGTGGGTTTTTTTTTTTACTTGGATAGTGGCAGTCTATCTCCCAAAGTCAGGCAATCTGTGACCTTGGGGAGTTTTTAAAACACAAGCCTCTAGAAGCAAGATATTTAAGGTCTTCAGCAAGCCCCCACTTTCTGCATTGGAAGTGGGTTCTGCCCATAAAAGCTCATGATGCTTTTTTTTTTTTGTTAGTCTCTAAGGGTATGTCTACACTACAACCCTAGTTCGAACTAGGGTGGTAGTGTAGACATACCTTAAGGTGCTACAGAACTACTAGTTTTTCACTGGGTATATTATGACTAACATGCATGAAAATGAATGCTAAAAGTTCATCTGTACATGATGCTTTCCTCCCAGTTTATTGAACCAGTGAGGAAGATGAACTCTTAAGCCTTGTCTACATGTTTAGGGAAGTTATGTGATTCACAACAAAGTGCAGCACCACTGACAAGTGGTGAATTACAGGTTCAAGTTTATGGCTGCAGTATAGCCCAGGGACCAGTGAGTGTTTTCTAATAGTTTTTCCAATAATAAATGAGGGGTGGAAAACCTCATGCCCTGAAAAAAAAAATCTTTATTCAGAATGCTTGCTAAACAATGTTTCTCAAGTTTATCAGAAGCAGTAAAAAAAACACCACCATAGAGTGCAGGTGTATCACATGGTACATCAAGTCAGAGCTTTCAACCACTTGAAGACTAACAGGATTGTATCACAATATTTCTGGAATAATAATGTTGGTGGTTTTTTTAAGTAAAGTGAAAGTGTGCTTAGTATATTTCAAGCTTTGGAAATGTTGGAACTGAACACTTTAGAAATTAAGAAGGTACTTTCACATTAATTACAAAAGTCCTTCAGTCTATTGAAGCAGCTTGGAGGGGTGAAACATGAAGGCTGACTTTATTATTTTTGCTACTTAGAAATTAGATTTGGTGGAAAGGTTACTAACCCTCAGCTAAATTAGCCAGAAGAAGAGATCTGATGCATCATTTATTTGAACAGTAGAGGTTTTAGATTACCCTTATATTTTGCCAGTATTTTCAAATAGACAAATCTGTTAACCAGCCAGGTCATTTCACAGCCTGAGCTCTCATCACACTGGATATTGCTTTACAAATAATCCATTTTATGATCAATGATGAAATGCAGTATGTCTTAATTCCTTAACCAGCCTGTGTTTAAAAAGAACCTCTCACACATCCAGCTCTTTATGATCATAAACCAAGAACAAATTTGGATGGCAATTTAAATCTAATGGTGCAATCCATCAGAATGTAAGGATCCTGCCGGATCAGATCTCTAAGTATAAAGGCCAAATATTTAGTCTTGCATATTTGCACCTTCACAGTTTTACTGTTGCAAATAACTATGGGTAACGTTTATGCCATTTAGTTGTCAAAATATTTGATGTTGCTAGCAAATTAGCTACTTGATGGTACTTCAACATTAACTGTTTTAATAAATTATAATGGGTGCAAAACTAAAAGCCAGGCCTTATAAGGAAACTCAAACTATATATTTTCAGTAACAGCTGAAATGGAAGCTCCACCCCTGAATCAGTGCCTGAAGAGATAATGATATTATTTGAAATTGGTGGACAGAGTTTGCTATAAAAGATGAAGCAGGGGAGGATATGAAGAGAAAAATCCAGTAGCTTTCATATATATAAACAATAAAAACTGGACTTGTCAGGTACTGATTTCCATTGACTTTTCTTCAGCATCAAACAACATCTATTAGAGTAACAGCAGCAGTGAGTTGCTGGATGGTAAATTTTTAATCAGTCTTGATTTTCAAATTTTATTTTAGGCACAGACTGGAAATCTGATTAATTTTATAGCAATTCTCAGCAGTTTAAGATTTTAGAAACAATGTAATCTTTTAAAAAAATTAGTCATTTTTCCTCATGTGAAGCAAAACATTTCTTAGAATTCTAGTAGTTAATACTTTAGATTTGTAGACAGTCTCTGTACCAGAATTAAACTTATCTTTTTCTCAATCAAGGAGTACATGGCAGAAAATCAGTTTCAGACTGATGGATCCACAAGCAAAAGTAATGATGGCACTGTTTAGACTACATTGAGGCA